TTGGTATTGGGGTGTTTCCAACTCCAAATTTCCCCCATCCCAATCCCTCTCTTTGATATTGGGGGGGTCTGGGGCTTCCTCTAACGCCAAATTTTCCCCATTTCCAAGCCGTCTCTCTCATTTAGGGGGCTCTGGGGTGTCCCCAGCCCCAAACCTGCCCATCCCAACCCCTCTCTCTGATTTTGGGGTGCTCAGGGGGTGTCCTCACCCTATCCCAACCCCTTTCTCCCATCTGGGGGTTCCAGGGGGTCTCAGAACCCCAAATCTGTTCACCCCAACCCTTCTCAGATCTCAGGATGTCCCCACCCCAAATCCCTCTCCAACGAGGAGCTCCCAAAACCCCAAACGCACCCACCCCAAGCCCTCTCCCCATCCAGGGGGTCCCAAAACCCCAAACGCACCCACCCCAAGCCCTGTCTCCTCCCCGCAGGCGAGAAGCAGATGCGTTTCGCGCTGTCGGAGCTGCCGTTCGACGTGAGCCCGGCYTTCGAGAAGGACGTGGAGGTGGTGCCGGCCCGCGGGCACGGCCTGGAGCCGCCCTACGCGGGGCCACTGTCGCTGCTGGGCCACGGGGACCCGCTGCGCCCGCTGCGTTTGGCCACCAACTGCATCACCGAGGTGACTCCGGTCATCAGCTCCGTGTACACCCAGATCCAGGCGCTGCCCGCCCGCCTGGAGCTGCCGCGGGGCCGCCAAGCTGCCGACGACGGCTCCGAGGGCATCCCGGTGATTTTCCGCAGCCGCAGCAGCCGCGGAGATGGTGGAGGTGGAGGTGGTGGCAACGGAGGAGACTCGGCGGCGTCGCCGTCCAACGGCTGCCACGACTCCACGGACACCGAGAGCATCCAGGAGGAGCGCGGAGGAGGAGGAGGAGGAGGAGGAGGAGGAGGCGGCCGGCACAGCCCGGGCTACGCCAAAGAGGAGCCCAAAGAGGCCGAGGGGGCGGCGCGGTGCTTCGGGAAGGATTCGCTGCGGGTGCTCAACGAGGACGGCGAGGAGCTGCGGGCGTTCTCGTGCGAGCACTGCCGGGTGCTGTTCCTGGACCACGTCATGTTCACCATCCACATGGGCTGCCACGGCTTCAGGGACCCTTTCGAGTGTAACATCTGCGGCTACCGCAGCCAGGACCGGTACGAGTTCTCCTCCCACATCGTGCGCGGCGAGCACAAAATTTGAAAATCCCCGCCCCCC